AACATTATATAAGATAACATTATAAGATAATAAACATTAAAGGTCCTATATGATATCAGTGTATTAAAAAAAGACATAATTATTACTATCAAATGTTATATTATCTGATAGGCCATCGAGCTTTACATAATTTGTGTTTGCCCTAATGACACACTAATGAATATTAGTAGAATTGCTGAAGTGATATGTATGTGCCAAATGTATTTTGTCATTACTTAAAATCATTCTGAAATGCTCTTATAAGTGATGAAGCTAATTTCTCTCTGATGAGAGCAATTATAGTACTTCCTAAACAAACACCCTGCAATTGAGTGCTTAAAGGCATTGTAAACAGTATTGAAATTAATAACCCTCTGTGCTGCATATTTATAAGTATACTTACGCTACTTTTATCATCATTTCAAAATATGTTCAATAGACATTTTTACAAAACCTTTAAAAAGAATTATTCTATTTACCATAATAACATTTTTATTTTCTTATTATTTTTGGTTTATTAACAGTGTTGTTTTTGAGGCTGAAAAACAAATTCTTCAATTAAATGTGTACAAAAAGTCTCATGTGAAAGATTTCAAAGAAATTTTTAAAAATTAAGAAAGAAGTAGCAACTTATGAGCACAAGTTGGAGTCAATTGGACTAAATAGGAGCTTAAAGTCGAATAAAAAGGCCTTAATTAATAAATACATCAATATTTTTCAAAATAACTCTATAAAATTGATTTCTCTTTTTCAAGAAATTAACAACTTTCAAAACAATAATCAGAGAATAGCTGCTATTCTTTATTACTCTTTATTGAGGACTCTACTGTGTGTCTCCTGGACTGTCTGTTTTGATCTTCACAATATCCTTCTAAAGCAATTATTATTACCCTCATTTTACAGCTAAAGAAACTGAGGCTCGATGAAGGTAAAGTGGCATGCCCATAACTCTTACCTAGCACATACATCTCTTACCTAGCACCTACAGAGCTTGTATGTGAACTCTCTTCTATAGATTGTAAAGCAGCTATGCTCAAGTAATTTACCAAATATTTGAATCTTAAACTAACTCTACTTTTCTGGCTGGTTTCTGAGGTGGTTAATGTTAGAGGATAAAAGAAAAGCTATTTCTAAAACATTTTTTAGAAAAGTGGCAGATAGAAAAACTTTCAGCACAAAACCAAATTCTCATCCTTGACCTCCAGAGTCAGAGATCATCACTGAGAAAAAAATCATGTCCACAGGAGTCTTTCAGAGTAACAACGTGAGGGTGTTGTGCGGGTTTTGCCCATACAGCAAAAAGAATTCAGTATGAGAACATGTTTGTAGGATGAAGTTAATGTAGCACATTTTTAGGGAAGAATCCAGTCATAAATTGGCCCCAACTTGTAGGGTCACAGGGACAGAACCTGGTATCCCACACAGGTAATTATCATCATTATGATAATCACTTCTTCCTAAATAATTTCAAGTAATCTACTGAAATAAAACACTCTAAAGTTCAGATATTATTTCACAGATTTCTAAAATTTTTAGGCTTAAAATCATCAATTAGGCTCCCAAAGTTCCATTGATCTTACCTAGATTTGTTTGTATCTTTTTTACCCATCTTAGTTTTTTAATTTTTTAAACCTGAATACACTAAGCTAACACATGACCAGAATATTTCCAAAACAATACCCAAGTTGTAATCACACCAGAAATTTATTTTCTACAGTAAAATATTTAAAAGCAATACTTAAAATTTATGAGAATATCTTAACTTCTCCTAGCCACTAGTCACTTTGGTCAGTCCTTATTTTTATGAACAAATTAAGCATGG